TCCCCCGCCCGCCGCCCTTCTCCCCCCCCCACCCTCTCTCCCCCTCTCCCCCCCCAGGCAGATCGATACAACCCCCGTCTCCCACAACCCGCCCAACCACCCCCGCAACTTTACTTATTATACATTCCCACCCCAAATCCCCGCGTCTCATTATCTTTGTCATTGCGAAGGAAAAATCGAGAAAGCCCCGGTAACGTGTAACTCTACACGCGCCGTGAACGAAACAGAAGTGCGTGCGTGCGTGCGTGCGTGCGTGCGTGCCTGCGCCTACGTGTATGCGTGTACATCGCGTGTCTCCTGAGAACGCGATTTTTTTCCCCGTCCTTGGAGAACGTATTAATGTCGGACGGAATAAGCGGATCGTTTCGTTTAAAATCAACCGCGCGAAATATTCGCACCTCGAGTGAGTGCGAGATTTTCCAAAGCGTCTTCTCGGGATCGATCGATCAATCGATTTAAGTAAGAATACGAAAGGACGATTTTTTTTCTTGTTTTTTTTCTTTTTTTTTTTAAGAAACGACTATTTCCCTTCTAATACAGATACATTTCTATAGATTCTCTAACAATAAGCTCCCCCGAGTACAACCGTGTTACACAACGACGGTCGCAAAGATAATTTTTTTCGGGAACTATTTCCCTTCTAATACAGAGATATATTTCTGTAGATTGCTCGTCACAACAGATTTTGCAAATAAAACTAACAATAAGCTCCCCCGAGTATAGTTGTGTTATACGACGATCGCAAAGGTAGTTGTTCTTTTTTTTTTTTTTTGAAAACTAGTTATTTCCCTTTTAATATAAATACATTTCTGTGGATTCTCGTCACAACAGTTCCTGCAAATCAAACTAATAATGAGCTCCCCCGAGTACAGCCGTATTATACGACGACGATCGCAAAGGTAGAGCGAGATGCTTCGCGACTCTTCCTGTGCGAGTCACGGCACAACACACACGCATAGAAGTGCGCGCGGTGTAGCACGCGGCTCCCGATGTCTCTCGAATTTTCGTACCGCCTGTATCGCGAGAGGTGTCTCTCGTCAATAATGATTGCCAAAGCAGAGAAAATCGATACCGCTTGGAAATTGCGGGCAGAATCTTCCGTGCTGGGAGATGAAACCGTGCTCGCGGATGAAATTTTCCTCACCTATGAACGGTTATCGATCTGCCGTACGCCGGCAAGCGTTAAAACTAACTCGTCCTTCTCATACTTTATGGTAATTCAACGTCTCGCTCGTGTCGTCGCATTTTGCGTTCGCTCGAAAACCGTGATTTCGTCGGACTGTCGCAAGCGGGTTGGCTAAAAGATCATCTCCGAGGGATACGCGCGCGGGATTTCTGCTCCTTTTCCACGTCATATTAACGAAAGCAGGCATTCATGCGTGTTAGTAATACGTTAGTATACAATTCGTAAATCCAGGACTGTATTACAAAACACTCATCGGAATAGATCTTCTCGAGGAAGCGTGTTTAGCTTACATCTAGAAAAAGGGAAGTATTATTTTCCTGGTATACGTGGAAAAAAAAAAAACGTGCGCGCATGAAGTGACGTAGAGAGAAAAATCGAAAAATAATTCTATACTAACGTGAGACTCTCTGACACACGGTCTTTCCATACCTTTACAAATATTTACGATAACACCGGTAGTTTGCGTGTGTGAACGTGTGCTACTTACATTGATGTTTGTCTGCTAGCATAACTAAGGTAGTCGGCAAATCCCTCCGCCTGAAGAAACACATGACTTTTGCTTCCACATTCCCGTTCGCGGTCTGGAAGAACGGAAAGATGAAAAGATTAATTCTCAAATCTTTAACGTCGAGTCGTCTACCGCTGTAGCCTAGGTATATGCATACATCTGCATTATTAAGAGAATTTAAATACATTTAGATAGAAGAGACGAATATAAATAGCCGGTCGATCCTCATTATAATTTCTCGCTAAAATCGCAACAGCGCCGCTTTCAATACCTTACCTTATTTAATTCTTCTATCCTCCTAATCTGATACGGCGACGAGGTGGAAGTCTCAAAATACACGTAATCTAAAAAAAAAAATAGCAATTGTATCAACAATCTTAGTAACAAGTAAAGAAAAAGTGAAAAGCTACAAACTGTAAATTATCCTCTAAATTATCGCGAAATCTACGAATTATATACTTCTCCCTTTTAAAAAGGCAAAGAAATTTTGATTGCCTCGCGTCTAATATAATCGTTTTTTCTCGAAAATTTTAGGAATACGTTAAAAACACACATGTGTCATCGACAAGAAGAGAGAGGAATTAGAAAATCTTTCTAGAACTTCTGGTTTTCTCCGGAAAATTCTAGAGACGGCAACGGAGGGGAAAATTTCGGTTGAATGCACGCTGCCGTTGCTGCCGGTGATACAAAATAGAAAATCTTTCTAGAACTTTTGATTTTCTCCGGAAGATTCTAGAGACGAAAAACGGAAGCGGAGAAATTTCGATTGAATGCACGCTGCCGCAGTTGCCTGTCGATGATACAAAGTCGAAAAGCGAAGAAACAGCAGGGGACAGAGGAGGGGGGGAGGGGGAAAGGAAAAGCGGTCATCGTCGAGATCTAGTGCGCTACCTCGTGTACGCAACGAATATATTCGATACAACGAATAGTGGCAGCTTCGAGCGGTAATCGCCAGGATCCAATTTTGATCCGCGAGATTTGTCGCGCAAGAAATTAGCGTGACCTGGACGTGAGAGAGAGCGAGAGAGAGAGAGAGAACGGTTGCGCGGGGGAGGAAGGTGGCAGATGAAGAGCAGGGGGGGGGGGAACAGGGGGACAGAGAAGAGAGATGAAAAGAGAGTTAAAGAGAGAAAAAGAGAGAGAGAGGAGGAAGAATGGAGGAGTCGGACGGGCGAGGAAGAGGGGGGGGAGGGAGGAAAAGCCAGAACGTAGGTATAGGACGTTCCCGAAGGGGGGAAAGAGCGGCAAGGGGAGGGGGAGAGCCCGAGGGGTGGTGGAGAGTACGAGGGAGATCCAGATGAAGAGTGGAAAGAAGAGAGGGCGCGCGGGAAGCGGGGGCGAGCGGCAAAAGCGGGAGGGGAAGGGGGAAGAACGCGCCGCGCGCGGAGGGTATAGGGGACGCCATTGCGATGCCATTTGCAAACATTAATTTCTCGGAGTTAATTAAAGCCGCTATCTCTGTCTCGCTCCTTGTTTCGGATAGCTCTCTCTCTCTCTCTCTCTTCCTGTCTCTTTCTCGAATTCACGAAACGAGGATGACGAGAACGACGATGTCGACGACGAGCGAACACCGTTAAAACCATCGTCGCCGACAATCGTCGTCTTTTTCATCGAGATAACAGAGCCGCGGAATGCATGCGGTTATACTTTACCTCCCACCCGGTACATGTTGGCCGTCATGTTGTTGGCGTCCTGCGTGGTCCCGAGAGCGAAATTGGCGTTCTCGTGGTTACCGTGGCCCTCGTGGTATTCGGCCGGCATCGGCATCAAGACTTCGTCGTCCTCCGCAACGTGTATTACAATCTCGCGGTCGCTGCCGCTGATCGCGGCACTCGCACCTCTCTCTATCTAATTACTTCTGTCTCACTCACACTCTCTCCCTCCCTCTCGCTCTCACTCTGGCAGTTTCCCCGTGGGCTCGGATCTACCTTCTCTTTTTCTCTCGTGCTCTCTCTATCTCTCCCGTCAACTGAATGATACGGTCAACATCTCACGGCATAGTCACTCCATAGTGTTTGTTTGCTCATCGTCGATCCGCTACTACCAAACTTTCGCTCCCGTCTGCCTCGCCAGTCACCAGTGCGTCCTCTGCCCGTCTGTCTCTGTTCCCCCGAGAGTGGAGGGGGGAAGGGTTTCGCTCTTTCTATTGCCCTATCTGCGTCCTCCTCTATTTCTCTCTCTTTCCTCTTTGTCTCTTTCGCTCCTTTAATCCCTCCCTCCCTCCAACCTGCTTGTGGAGTCCTGCAGGGATTCGCACGGTGTCTCTTCTATTTCTCTCTTTCTCTCTCTCTTTCAATTCGGAGTACTACGTTCGTGCTTACCGTCAAACTGTTATTCACAACACTCTACCACAGGTATAACGTTCCGCTGTTCAAGTTCGGTTCGTTCCGTTTTCAACGACACGCTACCCGACGACGGACGGACGAACGAACGAACGAACGAACGAACGAACAAACGAACGAACGAGCGAGCGAGCGTGCGTGTCGTGCGTGAATGCGTGCGAGCGACACGCAATAACGGAGGGCGGGAAAATCTCCGGTACGCGACGCGTACAGTCGGCGATTTACACGATCGCATGCGGTCGCGGATGTTCCCCCCCGAGAGTGCCGAAGGCTAACAATGTCGACGGCAGCCACCGCTACTGCCGCTCGTATCACCGAGATCGACATGGCCCGCCATTTTCATGTCGGCGAGCGCGAGCCGCTAACGCGGATGAAGGCTACGCCGAAATGTCCCGGCCACCCGATCCGACCGAACGAACAAACACCACGCACTTGCGAGTTCGTTCGCGAATATCATTCACCCGTTCACTCTGGAGCGGCGTTACACCGTTCGCCGCTTAACGCGTCGCTTAACGCGTCCTTCGGGCCAACTCGCGGCTGTGCGAGTCGCGAGAAGCCAACGCACTCCAACCCGAGTAACAGAGAAATAACTGATGGCCGGATGGCGAGCCAGGCGAACGCCTCAAGCGGAGCACGCCAGCGCCGCTGTGGAGATCGCGTGAAGCAGAGTCTAGGGATTTTTTTCTAATCCATCATTGTGTTTTCCACTAAGAAACTAGTTTGAAATACTGGATGCGTTCAGAAGCGACGACCGCTGAGCGTTCATTGAGCAAAAAAGGGATTAATCTGTTTATTTATTATAATTCGTAACGTAGAATAACTTTATGCCTAAACACGGCATTAGAGAAATAATAAATAAGTAATAAATAAATAAGAAAAATGATATTAAAGATTATCTATAGTAGATAAAGTTATTCTACGTTACGAATTATAATAAATGAATATATTAATAATAGATTAATCTCTTTTTGCTCAGTGAGCTGTCGTCGTTTCTGGATGCACCCACTGGTGCAATGAGTGCAAATCCGTTTACGTATTTTAGTGTGTTAATAAATAATTGAATTCTTTCAAGGTGATAAGATTGTTACGATGATAAAAAATACTTAATTGAAAGGATTAAATTATTTATTAATATTGAAGATAAGTGAATTGATTTGTATTTTCACTTTGTGTTGCACTAGTTTTCTCAATGGAAGACCCTACAAGTTTATTCTGCGAATAGCTACTTGTGATTGGTCAGCCATCTTTCAATTCGCGCTAGTTTTCAAATTTCTCAAATTTCTATTTTTATTAAATATGAGTAGTATCTTTATAATAATTTTTGGATACATGTAAAAAATGCATGAAAAAAATTTGTTTCCATATAAATGAAAATATATAAATCTCTCTCGGTTTCCTGTAAATAATTAATTTTAATATAAATGTAAATAATTATTATATAAATATAATTTTATTATATTATCCTTAAATATATATGTAATTAATTTTATATTCAATTAAGCGGCCATAGTTGTTATTTTTTCATCACGTTGCGATTGATCACAGCCATTCACAGAGGCTGGAATCTTGGAATTTTTTTCATTGTAGAATCAACCAATCAGAATAAGATCTTATATTAAATCGGCAAATTGGCGCTGTGAACAATCAAAGATTACTAGTAGGAATGTGCAAGATCGGGATGGGATTTTGTAACTTGTTAAAATTTCAGGATTTTCGAGAATATTTGGATTTCCTCAGAATGTTCGAGATTTTTAAAAATGTCGGAATGTAGAATGTATCTGTTTTGTTGAATATGGTCATAGTTTTAGATTTTTTATTTCTATTATTGAGTTTTACAAAATTTTCCGTTTTATTACAAATCATACAGCAGACTCTTTTATCATAGATAAAGAACAGAAAAGTAAAAATATTGTATATTTCGAAGAAAATCCATTATTAGAAATACTGATATTATAGATTGATAGTAAAACAATGTTAAAAGATTCTTCGTACAGTATCAGATATCTTGAAGATTCTCGGGAAACCTGAAATTTTTTCGGAAATCCTGAAATTTTCAGAATCACGTCCCAACCCAATCCGTATCTTCCCATCCTGTTCCAAGCATTAGATTTCGGGAATCCTGCACACTTTTAACTACTAGATACTTTTATATTGTAATGTAATGAACAGCTATACATTTTAATCCATTATTTATTTAACAATTTATAGTTAAATTAAATCCTTCTCTTTCTATTTGTTTTTGTAATATAATATAACAACTGAAGAATATACATTATACATATACGAGTATATTATACATATAATAATTTTTTATACATATAATAATAATAAGCTTTTATTAATATTTAAAAAAGAGTGGCTTTTTAAAAAGAAATTTTATTGATCCTTATTTTAAAATGTGAATGTTTGTTGTAATAAGATAATCCACCTTTAGTATTTAAAATAAAAGGTCATGAGATTTTTTAAAAATAAATATGTTAATTAAGGACTCTCTCTTTTTAAAATAACAAAAACAAATTAAATCTGGGCTAATGAGAGTCAGCGCGAGCGGAGGTACGCAATAAAATTTTAATAAATTTGTTATTCCGTATGAAGTGTTTATGTCATCTTTATTTAAATCTTGAGAAATCTTGAACGTTTCGTCTCTCTTTAGAATCTTCATCAGCAATCTTCTTAATCAATATTAGAAGAACGCGAAATCTAATATTAAGAAGATTGCTGATGAAGATTCCAAAGAGAATCGAAATATTTAAGATTTCTCAAGATTTTAAATAAAGATGACATCAACACTTCGTATGGAGTAACAAATATATTTGTTAAATTTTATTGCGCACCTTCGCTCGCGCTGATTCTCATTAGCCCAGATTTAGTTTATTTTTATTTTTTTTTTTAAATCGCCGCAATATGCCAGGTTCTATCGTGATTCGCTTTTATAAAAAAAAAATATGAATAGATATATATTATTGCCGCTTAAATAACGGAGCGATTGAATCAATTGTTCGAGTAATTGTTGCAATTGTAAGTATGAGTAATATAAATAACAATGTATATAACGTATAATTGAATAAACAACTTCTATGAAACATTGAACAGTATAATAAAAGCATAAATACTGCTAAAAGAGAATATTCTAGGTTTCAGGTTGTAGAGAGATCATGGAGAATGAAATAATGTTTGTGCGTAGTATATGAAATATTTATATTTACGAAATTAGTCTTTTTCTATACAATTGCTAATGCGCAGTCACATACTTCTCCATTTTGTCGGAATCGCTAAAGAGAATCGCGTACGCGTTGAACAATTAAAATTACTCATTTGTTTGTAGAACCTGTGCGAGCTTGCCTTGTTTTCTCATGAAAATGTTTTTCGATGCGCCTGACTAATAATAAATAGAGCAACGAATAAATGTCGATTTGATGAAAATACACATAACACAAAGATATATTTATTATATACATAATATATATAGTGCCTCCTTTTATAATAATACACATCCGCAAGACGTTTATAATTTAATTTTCATGGAATTTCGTTAATTATCTGTAAGGCACACCCCACGGTCGTTACCAAAGTAATTTTGTGTCCTCTCTCTATCTCCCTCCTTTCTCTCGTATTTTTTGCGTTATATATAATATCATATAAATAACTGTATACCATTGTGGATATATTCTATTAGAGCCTAAATTTATTATGCATTTCTATTTTTAAGAATAATTAATGCGCTAAAGATATAGAGGCAATAATCTGTTCTGTACATAATCCTATGTCTTTCTTATCGATTCCTTTAAGATAATGTACCATTTTTTTTTCATTAATGATAATAATGATAGTAACGTTATAAGAATAACGGGAAAATGCATAAATGAGATGTACAGGATGAGACCTGCTCGTGCACAGGTTTACGTGTGCTCACCCATCGCGATATACAAAATATGAGTAGTAATGTCGAAAATAAAAACATACGAATGACTCATTGGATTACTAATACATTCCCGCGTTGACTAATAAAGATTTATGATCGTCTTAAAAAAAAATCGCGTGTATCGATTCTTTCATTTTTTTTTCTTTCTTTTCTAGAAAGCTTTTCACTCGCTTTACTTGCAGGTCGCGTATAATAAAAATATGTGTAATATGTATACACACACTTATAATTGCATTTTTTATTCATAACGTTTTTTGTATATTACCACTCATGACTTTTTCTTTTTGAATCTTGTGTTTAATATTAATATAAAATACCTATGCCGCCATTGACAAAAATTTATGCATTTGTATGTACAAGTATAGCTCTCCCAAAATCCAACTATCTGGCTTCATCGTATCTGTATCTCTCTCTCTCTCTCTCTCTCTCTCTCGCTCTCTGTCTCTCTCTCTCTTTCTTTTTCTCTACTTACTAAGATACTATTGTTTTATGAATAAAAAAATACTAATATATATCGCATTGTCGTTGCACGGGCAGTGTTTGCGTAGTGTTTTGTCCACTCGTAAGGCACCAACTCTATTGGGATCCTGAGATTCAACCCGCATGCTTCGACAGATTCAGAGGCATATCTGCAAACGAAAAACAGAATCATAAACATTTTCGAATGACCTAATTGTCCCGATATTTATTTTGTTTATGATACATAAATGAACATACCTGAAGGAGGTGTGAGAGTTTGTTCCCTGTAGTCTTTGTAATGTGGGGACAACGGATGAGAATGCGGCGATGCGTATAATTGCATAGGAGGCGGATAGTGGACGGGAGACGGATAATGAGGCGCCATCCATAAAGGCGCCGCTCTGTACGGTCCAGGTGGCAACATTGGTATCCCGTAGAGCGGATGATGAACGGATGTATTGCTGGATCCGATGTAAGGATCGATTCGTACCCTCGGATAGGCGTTAGTCGATGAGTATTTCACAGGCTGCCGGTCGTCCGGCTTCAACAATGTCCTCAAGAAACCCGGTTCGGGACTCGGTTTGTCCTCCCCCAGGATACTCGTTATACTGTATGATGACACTTGCTTCGAAGAGGGAGTCGGCGGCGTACTCGTTGTGCAAACCGGCTGTGGAGTGGCCCGTCTCTTAGACGCCTGATCCTCCAGCGAGACTCTCTCTAGTTCTCGCAGTATACGTTTGCGAGGTGATACGACGTTAGGATCCAGCAGGCGCGCCAATTTATCGATGATCAGACTAAGAACCTTGCCCGATGACGACGTACCATTCAATTTCCGTGACAATCTCGTCGAATTAACCGTTGATTCCGGAACTGAGACCACAGTCGTGGAATCTAATGGGCGTCTGCGTTTTCTCGCTATCAAGCGAAGATGCGCGCACAAACGAGTCTTCGGATTTCGACGATAATAAAAATTAAATTCCGTGGTTATCCTGCGTCGGGGATGAGTCTGCTTCCAGCAGTGATCTCTCTGCCAAGGACTGGATTGGACCGACGAATTGTCATCGGAAACTGAGAACAGAATGCAGAGTATATGTCATGTATGACTTATCTGGATTGATTGTATTGCCTATATTTTTTACAACAATAATGCAAATCAGAGTAAAAAGATGTGAGAAACAATGACATAAACAAATCTATTTTTGAAAATATAATAAATATATGTGAAAAGTAGTAAAATATAAAAAAAAACTGTATAATATGCATCAATGCTTCCTTTGACCCACCACTGAGGGAAGTAGAGCTCTCCTGTCGATTCGGGATGGTGCTAGCGGGTGGCCAAAAGGTTTTCTTTGGCACGGGAAACCACGTAGTCTTTTCTCCGTCCCTGCGATGAGACAGTTCCAGAATGAACTTTCCATCTTTGAAGAATTTCAAGCGACCTCCAGGAGTTGGCAGCAGATTGCTGTCGATGCGTTGTGCCTCGGTATGATGAGCTGGCTGGGGACTTGAATTTTTACCATTTGCCTTGGCGAGGGTCGGGTGCAATGTAGGTGGATCACGCGAGCACATCTCTGTCGTGCCCCTCACGTGACCTGCGTGAGCATGACATTCTGCTGACTTTTCGCGCATGCTGATACTTTACCGATATCCATTTTCCTCCGCTGGACCTCTCATACTTGGACTTTCCAACGTGTGACGCAACAGGATAACAGAACTTGTTGACTTTCTCTCAGATAGTTAAACCTGAAACGTCGCAGCGTTTGGACTCAGTGGCGAGGAACATCCTCGTACTCCGGAAATCTCCTTTCTCTGCCCTCCAACGACAACAAAATGAAGACCTGACAATTTACAAAAAGTCTGAGGCACGTGTGTCACGTGGACAAGCGGAACAAACTCATGCCACTTGGGCGGGACGTCAGAAATTGTGGAGCACAGAAGTCATGACTCGCGGGCGATCATGATGGCTGACAGACACACAGGTTTGGCTCGGTCGTCCCCGTTTATTTCTTGGCGAGGCACACAGAAGGCAGAAGTGCGTGATCGTTCTCCAGGTTGATCTGTCGCTGGCTCGGTCGTGGTGTCATCGTCCCAGTGGAGTCAACAGCGCGCGAGTAACATCGTCAACGACGCTCCAGACGGAGGGGCGACATATCTTATTTTTTTTTCTTCCACTCGTTGAATACAACGTGCGCGTGCAGCGGGGCGATCGACACCGGGTTACTCCGGGTGTGCCGATACCACGTCGGGCGGCGCGATTGGTATCAGTTCAACCGCGACGACGGCTCGCATTCACGGGGTGCACACAACGGGAGAAATCCCGTGTGCATGAATGTTGGCGGTCGCCAGACACCCACCCACCCACGCACGCACTACCGCCTTCCGCTTCTGCTGGCTACTCCTCGGCCGCCGCCGGAACGCGGCGCATCCTCCTGGTGAACCGCGGCGTCTGCTTCAGAACAGCGGGAAATGGGCGCTCCGAACTCCCGCGGTCCGCGTGCCCGAGACCTCGCACAGCCTGCGGGACGGTACGGCGACGGGCAGCAGTCCGCGGCGGTGGAAAACACCGCACGGCCGCGACACATGTGTTTCACTACACCCCGCGGCAGCAGTCCGCGCGTCCGTCACCGGCACGGCTCCCCCGTGCTACGGTATCTACGAGCGTCGAGCACGCGAGTCGCAGAACATCAGCCGTCCAGCCGTCCGTTTCCAGCTCGCGCGATCAGCGATCCTCTCGGCCCCCGTGCCGTCCGCGGGGGGAGGGGGAGGGGGAGGAGGGGAGAAAAAAAGAGCGTGGACGTACTCCGATCACCTCCTTGAGTCGACGGTGTCGACCCTTCTCGTCGACAACACTAGTGGCGATGGCGGTTCACCTTCCGCGCGTTCCTCACGTCCATGTTCCCCTTCTACTTTTCGCATTTTCGCGATTTCGACCTCGAGATTCGCGAGAAACGCGACGCGTTCGAGCGCGTTGAAGATTTTCGTTTCCCCCTCGCGAAATTGTGGCGTCTGCCTCGATAAAAATTACATCCGCGAGCTTTTTCTATCTCTCCCTTCCGCTCCTTCTCTCCCTCCCACTTTGCCGAAATGCTCGCGTTTCGCCTCGTTCACGTAAAATCGCGGAATATTCCACTCGTTCTATTTGTCTAACTTCTGTCTCGCGATGTGAATAGGAACGCGCGCGAAATTCGTATTACGATCGCAATTCAATAACAAGCTCCTCCTTTCTTTTTTTTTTCCTTTATTGTCTATACATTCGTCGTTATTCGATATATTATGGATGTATCTCTGTATTTATTTTTTCGCAATCTCTATTTGTATTCTTCAGTAAAATATATATTTTTCTCTTGTTGGGCAAGTTATATATTCTTATTCGCTATCCGGAACAAACATTCTCTATGTCACCGTTCAATTAAATAACGTGAACAATATTGTTGCTAAATCACTGCAGATTTTAACTCAGTCTTTTTTTTTCTCTTGCAAAAGCGTTTAATTGTTCTCCATGTATGAAAAAAGCGTCACAATGCAAATAACAATAACAATAAAAATAGACACAACTATGTATTTGTTAAAAAAATATCTGAAAAAACTGAAAACAATCAATATTTACATGGACTTTCATCGAAAATCGTCTCTCACGCTGCTCTTTAATTTTTTCCTCGCAGTTGTGATATTATACGTAACGTGTAAAATGGAAAGAAATACAAAACATTTGACAATACTTCCACTTTAGTGGCAAAATACAAGAGAGCGTGACAATTACATGTATTAATTACTTTTGAAGGAAGTGCTTTATATTGCAATGGGTGAGTGCAATGTAGTTTATGTGTTAAAGATAGAGATACTTTATTAAAATAATTTGATATATACATTAGTCAATGATTTCAGAAAAATCTTTGAGATTCAGTGAGATTAAAATGAAGTTTCAGAAAACAAGGAAGGATATAGCAATAGGAAAATCGTTGAATAGAAAAATAATTGAATGTACAATCTTATACATATTAAAATTTAGTTAAAAATATTCTTCATTCATTCAATCAGATTGAAAAGTAAATATTTATATATTCGCTTAATGTTTATATCTGTTGGTCATCAATGCGTCTTTGTAAATATTTTTACCGCGAAGCATCAAGCCTTGACAAGGAGAATTGTGCACGTCCTGGATCGGTTCATCATCGGCAGCTCTCACTTGTATGAGAAACATGCGTCGAGTTCTATTAGACAAGTTCAGATACGAACCATGAAGTGTTAGGTAAGAGAAGAAGACAACTTCACCCTTTTTGGCAGATATGGGAGTAGCTTTGGACAAAGGATATTCCTGAGGATCGACATAGTAAATAGGATCACCCCAGTCATCGGTCTTTTTAATCTCCTTCAACGGTCCCAGTTTATGACTGCCGGGATATATCGCCAAACCACCATTTTCCGACGTTGTATCGTCCAAATGTAGAAATACAGCCAGCATAGTATGTTTCTTGTGAGGAAAATAAGGATAGTCTTGATGCATCAAGTAAGGTGATCCTTTCTCTGGCGGTTTTAAGTGCGCCTTGGTATGATGCAACATTATATCCTCGGTGCCCATAATATCCTCAAGGGCGTCCAATAATTTCGGATGCGTTATGGTCCGAGTAAAAACGTCGTTGTGCATTTGCAAATTGTGAATAGATTTTATCTGATGTATAAATGAGAATATGTACAATATAATATAATATAATATAATATACACGGTGTTTTAATCAATGCACTTAAATTTATCTGAAATCATGTAATTTTGATTGGAGAAGCATTAAGGTCAAATATAGGTCAATTTTTTTTTTGTTAAACAGGTTCAATATATCGTATTTAATTTTCAATTTCAGAGAAATTCAAGTGCATTTTTAAAAATCTTGTATATATATAGTTATCTCACAACTACCGCATTTCCTCTTAAGGTAATATTCTTGAGATAATTTTGAGATGAAAATTCTAATACGAAAATGTCGAGACTATAATCATTTTTTGAATTATAAGCTTTAAATGCTTATAAGTAAAAAACCATTTTACTTTTAGAGTCTCTATTATTATTTCTATTCTTTTGAACATTCTAAGATGAAAATCCTAATATGAAAATATCGAGGTTATAATAATTTTCGAATTAAACACTATTTTTAACCAATTAATTTTTAAAAACTATTATAGCCTCAACATTCTTGTATTAGGATTTTCGTCTTAAAATTTTCGTCCTCAAGTTCTTAAGAGGAAATGCAATAGTTGTGAGACATCCTGTATATATGTATATATGTAATTCTAATTTACAAATAATTGTCTATAATAAATCAAGTTTTACAGAATGATTGTAATAAGTTCACTTACAGTATAATCATCAGCGATGCTTCCAGCCAATTTCTTCATATCTTGTCCGGTCCATCTTGACTCCAAACCCTCAACATTTTCGTGAAATTTTCTTTCAAATAATTCAGTATAGGCATCTGATATTTCGTTTATTTCCTTCGTAGAAAATATATTCAACTTGATGTAACCATTATCCTCCCAAAATTGCTTCTGTTCCGGCGTTAAAAATTTCAAAGCGACCATTTTCAATTGCGAAACTTTCTTATACGAAATGTTAATAATCTCTCTCTCTTTCAGAGTTAAATAATGTAATGTTGCATTTCGTGACGATTAATATATAGTTTGCCCTACCCTAAAAATGTTTCTTTGGGAGGGATTATCTGTACATGATATGCATTTATGTATAATCATCGTTACCTAAACATCATATACATTTCTTATAAGATATCTTCTTTCTTTATAAGATATCTTAATAATTGCGAAATTTATAAAAGAGATTAGTGATGTAACAATTAATTGTTAAATAAAACAGCTCGATAAGGAAAAAAATATTTAACATAATTACAAAATAAAATATCCATAGTAATTACAAAATTTTTCCTATAATAAATTGGCAATATTATTCTTATTTTACCATTTAATTATAATTATCTATTAATCAAAAAATCTATTACTACATAATTTTATACTGCAACTTTTAATACATAATTTTGTATTATAAGACTTATCATGTTTGTGGTATGTTGATAAAAAAAATATCTTGCTCTCTTTGATAATGACTGGAAATTTCTATCATGTGACCTTAAGACATTTGTCAAGTCATACTGACATCAATGTAATATCAGCAGTAAAAATATACTTATCAATAGTTAATATTGTTTTGTTAACCATAATTACATAATAATGAATATGCATAATATAAATCTATTTATAACATCAGAGAAAAAATTGATCATTCTAATCTATAAAAATTTCTGCTACGTCATGCCATAAAGTTATGGTCACAAATAAAATTTAAATCCTTTTATAATCTGTTTTGATTGATACCATCGATAGGAAGACTGAGTAGAATTATTATACTGAGTATATTGCACATCATCTTCGTTCTCTAAATAAGTCTTACACGAGTCATGATACACTTTAACAAGTGTCCTACAGTTGCACTGCATCTCTACTTGGTCACTCTGACATAATTTAATCTTGAAGCAACCTGCTGTTTGTACAGGCGGCACATATTGCGGTTTAGGTAAAAAGAAATCGGATACTAAATTATTATCACTCTTCTTCAGCATGATAAACATGTTCGTTATGTTTAAAGGAGCATTCATAGCCTTCTGAAACTCATCACATTCAAACATAGACCTAGAAATACAATAATCTGTATAAGTGTTTCGATATAAATTCATGAGCATGTTCTATCATTTTTTTTTTTTTATTAACCTCATAAGTTTCAAAAGCGGTTTTCTGGAGGAATGTTGATACTCTTTGTGTTGCTTGCTGTTGAGAACATACGAGGGAAGATCTATGCCAATGTAAAACTTTGGCGATAGTATCGTAGCGCCAAGTATTATGGCAACTTCCTTCATATCGCAACCCTTGAGAAAGAATTGCGAGGACAAATGATCCTCAACGTTCTTTAGCGTGCTCGACAGAGCTTTGAAGGAGACTGCGTTCCTATCTGTTGTATTCTGGAACCTTTCTAATGCCTCGTACGTTAAGGGTATCTGCTGCTTTTGATACAAAATATATTTTATGAGCTCCATCACAACTTTTGTGCACGAATCACTGGTCCATGGTTCGTCCAACATCACATCAATCTCCATTTCGCCTTTTCTGTCTCTGGAGAACATTTTAAAATGTAATAAACTAGAAGCAGAACCTGTGGAGATTTTATTTTGAAAGCTCTGTCCGCCAAAAAAAAGAAGAAAGATAAATGTTCGTCAGAGAAATTTGCACTGCATTCACGCGATTCTTTCGCGCGTCTCGTCAGTTAGGTTATATTAAAAAAAAAAAGGTTAGGTTAGGGGTAATTGAGCTAATCCAGATTCCGTTCTTTGAATTTTTTGTCCTTTTTTTCGTCCTTTTTCTCTTTTTCTCTAATGCAAATTAGACCCCTATCATTTTAGGTGCAGAAAGCGTAGCTGAGTGCATAAGGAACAGATATTTCCTGTGATATTAGCGCCAAATGTTGGTTGCCATGCCTGGTTAGTTACTAAATTCACTTTATTTACATTTCGCCGTTGAGACGCATGAATTTTGAAGTTTTAAAAAGCTGTGAGAATTGAAAAATAAAATTTTACGATGGAATTGAAGACAAGACAAACGAGAAAGCTGCTGGAGCTTTTGGAGCAGCAAGTAATCAAATTTGTTAATTTTCGATCGATTTAGTAGTTGTGCGTTTAACAAAGCCAGCTATGAAAAATACATAGACTCTAAACGTAGACTCTACGTTACAAAATATAAAAATTGAGACTGCAGTTAACTTATTGCTTGAGAACGAAAGTCACAATTACTTCTTATTTTATTTTCAGATTAACAAATTATATTTATTGCTGATCACTGTTTCTATTAATCCATCAGAAATTTTGGTTACGAAATCATTACTCCATGAACAATTGCATTTTTTAACTCAGAGATTCAATAATTTAGGCGATGATAATTGCGACTGTGAAGAAGCAAATGTAAAATTTGCTGATACAGTAACAAATTTGAAATATACTTCTCTATTGAAAAATATTGATGAGCTTGTAAGCTACAAAAGAATCTTTTAATATTTGATATTGTTTTTTATTCCTATTAAATGAGTTTCATTTGTTTTCCTTTGTTTCTTATTATCTTTTTTAGATTAAGGATATTAAATGCGATAATATTGATAGCAATGCAGCCAGACATAAGACGGAATCATTGCTTAATAATTTTACATCAGCTTTACGAGTATTGGAAGATTTAGAATGCTTGCCATTGAAGCAGAGATTTCAGGATTGTCTGGATTATGTTAAAGAGATGAGCACAGCAAACGAGATTGAGGATCTTCAAAATATAAAGGTAACAATGAGATAAAAAATTGAAATGTGTATTGAAATCTTTTAATGTGAATATTATATAATTTCCTTTGTGCTTTTAAACTAGGAATTAGGCACTTCGATATTAGAGATACTCGAACCACTACAGAATTACAGAAAAAGTTTAGCGTCTGCTTTTCTATCGCAGAATCTAGCTTTATATACTTCTCAATTATGCACATCATTTGAAATGCTAGTACAACTGGCTCAGGAACAGCATCAGTTAAATGCACCAATTTATGTAATAAACTATATATTTTACATTTATTTCTGTGCATGATTTAAGCTCCTTCTATATTTACATTGAATATGTACAGGCTTGCAAGAAATATGTTTGTGAAAGAATATGTACTTGTTGTGAGATGATATTGAACTTGATGAATGACTCAAATCCATCGCTGGAAAAGGAAACTTGCGAAAGGGAGAATCATTTTGTTTACAGGTGAGAAAATAAATACTTCTTATACTTAATATTGCATTTACACAAATAATTCTGATATACTTGTAGAATGGATTTGGCATTAGACGTTATATTAGAAATACCGAGTAAAACGCATGAACAGCAGCTATCTGAATGTACCACGGAACTGTGGTTGAGACTGGAGGACGTATTCTCTCATGCTATGGCAATTACCCAAGTGTGTCAGCCATATAATTTTAAAGCCATAACTGGTTCATGTCAATCCATAGTGTTGGAGTACGAGAAATTAAAGCAGCAATTACTCTCGGAAACTCCAGGCTCTTTATCGTTTGGAACGTAAAGTTAATATAGCGGTACTAACGCTCGCAATGGAAGTATTCAGCAATCCTTACATTACTTTGAAAAAACTCGTTATGACATGCGGAAATTCTTTAAGCGCGAAAAGAAGATCGAAAAGTGATTTAAATGATCTCATAGAAGATTTTGATCAATTCTTTGATCAAACTATGCAAATTGGAATATTTGCGATCGCTTGTTGCAAAGACAAGAACCGTAAGTTGCTCTTCTTCATAAATTTTTTAACATTCTTTTTAAACAATAGAAAACATCTCATGTAAATTTGATTATTTCAGGCAATAACAAAATTCGTAATTGTCTCGCAGGATTCGAATCCTTAGAAACTGAATTAATTTCTGCCATAATTTCCTTCTATTTACATCCAGATAACAAAGAAATGCGTTCGAGTGTTAAACTGTTGACTATGCAATGGCAATTAGAGATGAATAAGTTTCAGAATGCTGTAAATCTCATTATAAACTCGGCTGCTTTCTGTCAAGTAAATATAATGAATTATAAAAGATTATAAGAATTTTAAGAGTGTACTTGAATATATTTTTTATACTCAGGTAGTTATGGATAGTCTTCAAGAACGTATAACGGCAATCTCAGATTGTCTGGATAACAGAGAGCCAGTAACACAACTTCAAGTGCAAGGTATTGTTCAGCGTGCTTCAGCTTTGTCTAGTCAAGTCACAGCAATTGTAAATGATATTGGCACTGAAAACATTGATCGTCAAACGATAATGATGACAAGAGAATTGAAAGCAGGTAACTGATTCTGTATTATTACAATTAAAATATATAATATATGTAGTTTGCTAGTGCATATTGTGCACATACTCTTTATTATAGCTATATTTGAAGCCAACACCGCTGCCAAAACTCTTCTGGTGGAGAATGCAACGGAGCCTCAACAATTGCGAGTAATAAAACGATGTGAATTAATATTGAATGTTGTTCAAAGATTACAGTCTGCTTTAGCTACAATTATGAACAATACAACGCATGAAAAAACTGTGAGAGGTCAAGGAGATTCCATTCATGGTACATAATGTTCAATGATGTTTACTAAAACGCTTCACTTTGTAATATACTATGCAAATAGACGCTAATACACTATCAAGGAAAACTATTAAGCTAATGAAATTATGCGTATATTACAGGTAGCATATCAAATGCCATGAACTTTCCATCCACAATTTATGGTTTGCCGCGCGATGAAAATAGTCTAGTTTATATTAGAACACCCTATACAGGTTTGTGAGAATTTCTATTCTTCGTATATGTTGCTTATACTTTTTCAAATTAACGTCAAGTCTTATCTGTGTTTTAGTAAAAACGCATAAATCACAGGTGTCCATTCAACCGGCAAACAGTACAGTACAGAAACCGTCGGATCTGTCGTATTTGATACCTTACATAAAGAACGGCCGTACATTGCGCAGCGAGCACTCCATCATGTATACACCGCATAAAAACAAAAATGTAACAGAGGTAGCCGTTAAAAATGAGATGTCCCTTAGGAATCTATCTAGCATTAGACAACATCTTTTTAGCAGAGATAGCTTCAGCATTCACGTCGATTTTGATATAGCCGAAGAGAGCATGGATTTAACAGGTAATATATTTGAAGAGACCATCTAAATAAGAATTGTAATTACATTGGAAACCATTTCAGCTGCTTTAGAAAAGATAACTTCATCGTCCACGTCGGAAAATGCAACGTTCTCTTCATGCCAATTCTCAAAAGTAGAAAACGTATCTTCGGGAAGTGTAAACAAGGAATTGGTTTTCAATATCGTAGAAAAACTAAGTCAAACTGTTAGACCAGAAACGGAAAGTTTGAGCAAATCCGCGATAACGGAGAAGATGAGTGAATGTGCCATATCTGGTGGCGGTGATGCATCCTTAATCATGGAATCGCGTCAAAAACTCAGTAGCGTTCGATCTCCAGACAATAAGATACAAAAGTCAACCTCGGGGCAACATGAGGTATAAAGGAAGACTATAGCCAGATATTTATAGTTCGTTTTTATTTTAAGACCGTCTTGAGTGGTATCTTAAGATGCTAATATGACTTATTGGTTTGACATCTTAAGATTATACTTAAAACGTCTTAATTATAAGAAAGGACTATGAACCAGCCTATATTTTTTTAATGTTAAACTAAGTATTAACGCATTTTTTAATTGATAGTATTTAAGGTGATGGTTACATCAATATATATAATTATAAATGAGAATATCGATTGCACATATCTTTATATAATAATTACACTAATAAGGTTTAAATTTCAATTGTAAATGTTAAATTTTATCCCGAATTTTTATCACGACATAAAAAAAAGTTGAAACAAATTTGAAAAAATTTTTTCTTCTGTTTATTCCTTTTCAAATGTGGTAGGAAATGAGATCGCCAGAAGTTATTAAAATCTTCCGGACATTAATAAAAATTACTAGATTCACATGTTCAGCGGGGAGTGAGATTTTCGAAAATCCCTAGAAGTTACTAACATCGTAAATAATCGGTAAATAAATAAAAATCGTAAAGATAATGATTTCAAGAAATCGCGATTCCGCGTCTTTTCGCAATTCGCAAATTTCTCGCGATTCCGCGTCTTTTTTTAGCCGGGGACATATGGTTGCTCTTTGTAGCTGTATTCTTCGCACTTTCCAGTCCTTTCCTTTGCTCTCTCACTCTCTCTCTTTCCAACGTCTTAAATTGTATCCCCATTTCGTTTCAAGTGCAGAAAGTACGACATAGTGCAGTTACCGAGAACAGCCTTCACACGTCTGAACGTATCGACTTCTCGTTATGTCGAAACGAAAACGATGTAATAAAGAAAATCATATTTTTCCGCACCTCCTAGTTAGTGGTGGGTGAAAGAAGACGGTGTGCTGGATCACCAAGGAAGAGCGTTCGTTTCTAAGTCGATCCAAGTCAGTTCGCCGAGCAAAACATGGACGCCGTGGCGATACATACGTCGGATCCGCCGCAGGGCGAGGACGCGATCACGTCCGCTATGAAGATATGCCGCATCTGCCTGCTCGACAATCTGATGATGCGCGATCTCTTCGCAGAGAACGAGGTCGCGTCCCTATCGGTGAAGGCAATGAGCTTCGCCAACGTTAAGGTTAGATGCATAATTTGAAGGTTAGGTACCGATGCGATCGAAGTCCCCGCTTTTATCATCGCTCTCCCTCTTCTAATCCCGGACAGATTTAGACTTTTCGTCGATAATCGTCTAATTTGTCGCCATTCCTATCTTTCTAATTGGCTTAAAATGATAAGTTTTTGTTTATATCGAACTTTGCACATTTAGCCTTTAACACCTTCGCTGCCATCATAAAAATGTTATAAGAGGCCTGTTCTTTTTAACTGAACTTTTTGTACGATTCATCTTTCCTATTTGTCCCTTTACATTGGAGAGAAAAAAGAGAAACATGAACAAGAAGTTTATCTAAATGGAACAAGTTTATTACTTTTTTAAATGCCACGCAAAATAATACATATTATAATGAATTATTTGTTATGATCAGGACTGAGGCAGTGATACGAATTCTGGGCTGCTTGCAGCACAGTTATTAGCATGAAGAGAGCATAGACACATACGCATGCGCAAGTATATACAGATATGGACTCATTATAGTGTATGTATCTTCTTATGCCCCCTTCATGCTAGTAACCATACTGCAAGTAGCCCGGGATTTGTTGGACTGAGGTATGTAGCATACAAATAAAAATGTACACACTGGCAATGGCTGCGTTCAGCATAAAAAGCAGCTTTGCAACTATTGTAAAATTCTTGAATTTATTGATTTATACATTTAGGTCAAATGAGGAATTAAAGATAAAATTAATCATATTAAAGAATTTTACAATAGTTGCAAAACTGCTTTTTCTGCAGAATACAGCCAATGTGCATGGCAGCAAAGATGGCAATTATAACATTTTGAAATAACTATTCTTTTTGAGTACAACCAATGACAAGAACTTTCTTTTGAGATACTAAACTATATGCTTTGATTAGATGTTACCAGGTGATGGTTTACCAACACAGGTGTGCTGTATGTGCGCCGACAAGTTGGAATCGGCATATGAGTTTAAGTTACAAGTGGAGCAAGCTGACAATGTTCTTCGAGAAAAGCTTGTGGGAGGAATAATAAAGGACGAATTGTTTCTTAATGAGGTTGAAATACACTTGGATGCCGAGAAAAATAATGGTTTGGAAGAGATGAATGACAGTGCTGATTATGAATCTACTGATACATTGCCAGTTGAAACAGAAACTGACAAGAACTTTCTGAAAAATCAATTAATTATTTTGGAAGCTGAAAAATTGGCAGAGACAGATGGAATACAACAAGGTGAGTAAAATGTAATCGATACAATGATGTTTGGAATTTCGAATTAAAAATTGCTTTTATAATATAATAGTTTAAAGTTCCCGAATATCTTATAATATTGACTCTATTGTTTAGATTCAGAACAAGATAACTTGCAAGAAAGCATTGAGGAAGAATTGCAGCAAGAATTAGCCAGCTCAGAAGACATGTCAGATGCTATTGATGAATCTAGGGATGAAGTTTCTTCCAACAAGAATATTATTCGAAGCTGCACAGATACAATTCCAACAGATGAACATAATTATATAATGCAGCAACAGTGTATTATTTTGCATACTGAACAATTCTTCCATAAAAAAATGCAGGAGACCGTATCAGAATTTAAACACGAAATAACGAAATACGAAGAATCACTATCTGAACAAAATCAAGAAAATCAATACAAAATCAAGAAAATCAAAATCAAGAAAATCTATCTGAACAAAATCAAGAAAATCTATCTGAACAAAATCAAGAAAATCAATCTGAGCAAAACCAAGAGATTCAGGCTGAACAAAATCAAGAAATTCCAACTCAGCAAATTCACGAGACTCTGGCTGAGCAAACTGAAGAGACTCCAGTTCAAAATGCTCAAGCTGAACAGGAGAATCAAACTGAACAAAATCAAAATCAAAAAATGGAATTATTACAGAACGAAGTATTAAAAAATGATACTAATGAGCCAGTCGTGGAAGAATCACCCCAAAATGAAACTAGAAGAAGTAAACGTAGATTGGCTCGTCGGATATTCACCGAGCGGGATTCCGATGAGGAGAATTATTTTGAAAATCTGAATCTCAGTTCACGATTGAAAAAAGTGCAGGCAGATAAGACAGAGAAGATTTTTTTCATGTGTTACTTGTGCGATAAACAGTTTCTTTCAAAGAGCGTCTTGAAAGAGCATATGCATTCCCATGAAGAAGTAAGGAAAACATTGTCTCTGAAAAAAACGCCGGAGAAACCGCAGAAGGTGCAGACCAGCGTTTCCGCCGTGAAAACGCCGAGTATATGTACATAATCTCGTTTACTAAACACATTAAGCAACACGAGCGAGAGGGGCAGGAAGCGAAGGAAGATTCGATGTCGCTTGAGATGTTTCATGAGGATGACTACAGTCTAGACTTAGATAATGGCAACAAATCGGATGTTGAATGTAGAAAACAAAAGAGAGGAAGTACAGTATACGACGATGTTGCAAGCGACAATGATCAGGATAAGAAAAGAAAGCGTAGTCTTATTGAGGAGTTTACGTGTAACAAATGTCCAGAAAAATTCGATACAAAGCGAGGGTTGCAAAAGCATTCGCTCACGCATGTTAGCTTCAAGTGCAGTGTGTGCAACGAGGAATACGACACTCTAGAACAACTAAAAAATCACCGAACAAAGCATGTGATCGAAGGCGTACTTACTGAGCAAGACTTGGAAGAAGATATGAAGCAAATGATCAAATGCGAGGAGAATGATGACAATAGTAAGAACATCAAAGATGGAGAGAACAGTGAATCCGTCGAAATCACGAAGGAACTAAAGTGTTCGATATGTTCAATAACATTCTCACGCAAGAAAGCGCTCTCCAGACACATGCAGACAACACACTCCGACACCCATTCTTACGAATGCAAGATATGCTGTCAACAATTTGCACGGAAGGATTTCCTACGCAGGCATGCCGAACAGCATGCACGAGTGAAGACTTATAAATGTACTCAATGTAACAAAACCTTCGGCAATGAGCTCACGATGAGAAATCACTTGGTTGCCACAAATCACAAGACATTTATACAGGGACAGGAATACGATCCCAATAAGCGTATAAAGCGCGTGGCGGCGAGAGCAGCACAGAAGATCATCGACAAGATCAAGACTGAGGACGGTCTCGAAGATTACGATGATAATACCGATTATGATGTTAAATTGGACAAGCATTATGTTATTAAGCACGATGCAAAGAAGTACAGGTATAAAGAATTTGAGTGCGCAACCTGTAATAAGAGGTACTGCTTGAAACAAGCGTTGGCGAGGCATATGGAGCAACATGTAAAAAAGGAAAAGGCAGAGAAGACAATGGAGAAAGCGGCGGAGAAGCAGAAGAAGACCGCTTTAGAAAAGAAAGAAGCGCAGAAGAGCAACACGGATGATAACGATGGCGATAATAACTCCGACTTTGAAAGTGGTCTCGACTGGCCAGTAGACAGCCATGAATGCACCACGTGCAAGAAGCAATACAGTACGAAGAAGTCGTTACTGCGTCATCAACTACTGCATGAGGAGCCAAATTTCGAATGCGATATCTGCAGTATCAAGTTCTATCGAAAAGATAAACTGAAGGCGCACTACGATAAGTGCGCGGAAAAGAATCCTGATCAGGTGAGGAAGTGCAACATCTGCGGCGACAGTTTCGAAAACAATGAGATTCTGCGCGAGCACAGGGCCAAGCACGTTACCGAGGGTATCCTAACGGAGGAGGATCTGAGAGACACCGAGCCAAAATCCGAAGAAAAGAGACTAAATGATAAAATGACTCGGAAGAGGAGGACCGATATTGTGGGGCTCGAGTGTACCGAATGCAACAAACAATATACCTCTAGGAAGGGTCTGCTGCGACACATTCAGGTTCACGAGGGTAAGAAGTACCTATGCGAAATATGTCCAAAGAAATTCTATCGGCGGGAACACCTGAAGATTCACGTGGCAAAACACAACATGATCAAACCATATAAGTGCACTCGTTGCTCCAAACGGTTCATTAAGGAGGAGCAGCTCAATAACCATCTACCTAAGCATGATCGCACTTTTAAGAAGAACAAGGAGACCGATAGTTCGAAGAGATTCCTCTGTGAGATCTGCAGCAAGAGCTTTACGCAGTCAACAACGCTGCTAGCGCATCTGCGTGCTCATAAGGGTATCAAACCGTATGTGTGCGAAGTATGCTCCAGGCCATTCACCACTAATGCCTACTTGAAGATGCATATGCGCACGCACACGCAGGAACGTCCGTACATCTGCCAATATTGTTCGCGAGCGTTTGCCCGTGCCGACACCTTGGCAAATCATCTGACGTCGCATACTGGCGAAGCCAAGTACCATTGCAAGTGCTGTCCAAAGAACTTCCGGCGATTGAAATCCTTGAAGGAACACATGTTTATTCATACGGGTCAACGACCTTACGAGTGTCCAACTTGCGACAGAAAGTTTAACAATAACGGCAGTCGCTACGCGCACAGCAAGCGCTGCAAACAGAATCTTTTGCAGAATCAGAACCGGGCGCAACAGGTAATCCAGCAGACACAGCAGCAACAGCAACAACAACAGTTACAACATCAACATCAACATCAGCCACAGCAAGTGCAAATACAGATGCAGCCAGAACCGCATCCAGTTAGGTTGCATCAAACCACGATCGGCCAGGCACAAGTAATCAAGGCGCAAAACATTAAAACAATCGCTATAGCGAGACAAGCTGAGCCTACGGTAACTACGCAACATCAGGTTATGCAGCATCAAGAAATACTAATGCCTTTAATCCTGCCACTTACCGTCACTCTTGCTGATGTAGGCGAAGAGGTGATACTACCTGAAGGTACAAAAATATTCACCACTTCTTAATCGAGCCCTTTCGATCTTTTTCGTATTTGATTATAATATGGAAAGGAAGGGACATACTACTTATGAAAAACTATCTCGATGATACTTCTTCAATAATTTGAACGAGTTTTGTTCTCCTAACACCCTGTGACTATCATTTTCATTCCCACAATTCCCTATACGCACGGAAAATCTCGAAATGACAATGGAATAGCGTTATCGAGGGATTTTCTTGTATATTGGATAAAAAAAGGGTACGATGCTCCACTAGGTGATAGAAAAGGGTAAATATATGAATTTAAGAAAGAGTATCATTTTGATTATGTATAAAACGTTATATTGAAGTTTATTTTTACAACGGTGAAGGCGTTAATAAGCGATATATATGTATAATTTGTCTGGAAGTTTTAAGATATATGTACCTTTTCATATATAATAACGTGTATTACTGGGAATGAATAAACGTCTTTGACAAATCCTGAGAAGACAGGAAAAGACAGATGTCTTTGTCATGAATGTGTTGTACATGTAATATAGATTTTCTTTAAGAGATATGATAGATTTTAAATACTTAAAGCTTAATGTATTAAATATATTAGATTTATTTTCACTTAGTTTGTTCTTCCAGAGATCTTTCTTCGTTTTCTTTAATCAAATACTTCCATTTTCAGAAAATAATTCATTCGCTAACAACTTGTTGAAATTTATAAATCTATCGATATCATAATTTCAATTATATTTACAATAAAGGATTATTGTAACATGTAATTGTGTAATTATATGTATGTATATGTTCCGCGTGTTGCATCACATATGCTATTTTATAAATGCCAATGTCTAGGAAAAAAGGCATTTTATTAAACATTTATAAAATATATTTATAAATTACATTTATAAAATATAATCAATCAATTAAATAAATGTAATTAATGGAATAATTTTATACAAGCAACATCTGCTAGAAAAGATATTACATTTATAAAATAATCTGACATATTGAACAATATGTTAATGCATACGCGGTACATTATTATAATACATACAATTCATATAATTATATATAATTATAATTATATACATTATAATTATATACATATTTTTAGTTCTCTTTGAAACTGATTTTATGATTATTTGATCTATTTTTAATTAATACGTTATATATGTACATTACTATTATGTTACTATTGATTCTTGTAGAAAGAAGTTTAGAAAGAAGTGATATTATATAACATCGTTTGGAAATAGTTCACATAAACTTTTAATCATATTTTTTATATTTAAAATAATTCTTCAAACAAGAATCACTAAAACAACTCTTGCAATCAATTTACTAATTGATATTTTAACAATTTACTTTTTTTTTTTATTAAAGCATATAGCAAAATGACTAAGACCCTATAAATTATAAATTTTATAATAGATAAGTTTCATGCAATGTGTGCTCTTATGGGCAACGTGCTCTTACACATAGACTGGGTTCGATTTGAATGCGTTCAGCACTTCTGTCTTTGTCTTGCATTCAACGAATAAAGGCAGAATAATAGTAGCGTTTAAAGCGCGTGAGCGTCTAAACCGAACGCAACCATAATATTAAATTGTGTCCACATAACAATTGTAAAATTAGTGCGAAACTAAACCACATGTATAAATATATCATATAAACGCTGTTATCATATATATATATGAGGTATGATCTTTATTCTTATTACTTAGTTTTTGTTGTAATAAATAAAGTATTTGTTCTAATCTTATATTGTGATTTATGCTATCAGAATTGCTAAATTTACTTTTATTGTATATATTAATTCAAGCTGAAAAATCCTTTGTAATTTTACAATGCATTATAATCCAAAGAGTACAATAAATTAGAGCACTTCATTAATCTAATGATTTATTTGATCACATTGAATATATTTCAATGATTAATTGATCATAATGAATAAGAAAGATGAAGAGAATAAGAATAACGAAGAAGAAAGATAGAAATTCATATACAATTTATCTTTCTATATGTCTTTATTCATGTTAGAAAGATGTAATTGAAATAATCATTTAGGATTTTTATGGAGAGACAATGATTAAATGATCTTGTAATATTTATAACTTTATAACAAAATATTTCTACACACAGTTACGCGCATTTATGGAATTATAGTTTAGATATAAAGATATACACAATCAGCTTGAAAAATAGAAAAAATATATATTTTTAATTGAGCTATCAATTTAGTAACAAAACTATCAGTCTTAACAGATTTTGGCAAAAGATACATTGGTTGGTTCTTGTTAAATGAAAATTATAAGAGGAAATTTGTCATAACTCTAAACATCATAATTTCTGTTGTATTCAAATATGTATATAGTTGCAAAAAAAATAAATAATATTCAATATATATAATATACTAACAACTAACCTTTTTAATATAAATATTTGTTTTATTTAGTCGCGTTGTATTAAATCAACACTATATACAAACAATAATATGAAATATTATGGACAAAATATTAAATGCAGTATAAATAAATGCAAATGTGATTTTATCATATAATGGCCACAATCTTTTTTTTTCTTTTGTCTTTATCAAGCAGCAAAAGTCGGTTTTGTTTCAATCTATGACCCACAAGATATTAATTCCAGATGATCCTGCATTAACTCGTCCTAACATGCCGTGATCTCGCGTTTTAACTATGTATAAAAAGAGTAAGAGTGTATGAAACAAATTATTGCGACCCTAAAAACATAAATGCCATTATAAAACAATAAACATATGTGGTATAATATATATTCATGCGATAAGATTTCAATTACCCGTTGTACTTCTTCATAATCACTCGGAAGAGAATCACCAGATAGTGCCAGGCTGTAATGCGGTGGATTGATGGATTGACAGACTATTATTGGACCCTTATTTCGCGGCAATTCCATTCCAGATCTCGCCATATATCTTGATGTAAATGGCCTGGCGTCTGGCTGATCCAAAGGCGCTTCCAATTGTGTGTCCATGTAGGTTGAAATTAAATGCATTATTATCTGCAAAAGATATGTCAGGAAAAAAAAATTTCTAGAAGAGCTACAATCTCTTAGAGACAAAGAATTTATAATTCTCTATACGCTTACTGCGGAATCAGTTGGCAAGCTAGAATCCCACTCTTTACCATTGTGAGATCCACCACCGTTCCATTTAAATTCGCTCATGGAGCCTCCTTTTGCAAGTATTTTTATTCTTTTTACAAGATATTCCTGATTATTACAGAGCTCTAGAAAGGGAACTAATGTGGGCAGAGTGGGAATCACACAGACCAAAAATTGTGCTTGTGCAAGTTTCCTGAGTCTATCGAGACCTACATGGCCTGGCTGCGAGTCGCTCAGGCCATGGCGTACTAATGTTGCACATATATTGTCTATCTCCAATGCCACACGTTCGACAACTGTCTTACTAATCCACTAAAATATTTTATATACATTTTAAGTATTAAATCAAATAATTCTTGTTTATAGCACTAATTATTTTTTGTTTTATATTGTAACTCTTACCATTCGGAGATTGGCAGTCCATTCGTTTACTTTATTTGAATCAACTCTGTATTTCCTCCATACATCTAGTGCACCAAATGTGCCTCTAGGAGAACTTCCTTCTTCAGCAGGGCTGGTTGCTTTTGTTTTGTCTAAATAACAATTCGATTTTTTTTATTCTTACAAAGAAATATATACACATTAAATAAATCTTAGATTTACCTATGGTAGGTGCCAGTTGATAAGCGCATCTTCTTAACAATGGTGATATCTCACCAGGACTCCGAGTAGCAGGATGAGACCAAAAGGAACTCAAGAGATTGGAAGGTTGATCAACATTCGTGGATAATACACACTTTCTTTGCTGTTCAACTTCTTTGAGATAAGTCTCGAGTTCACATTCATCCTGAATAAGATCCTCATTTGTCAAGCTACCATTTAAAGAAATGTTTGTAGATTTACTGAGCGATCCATTGGAGCATACAGTTGCTTTAGGAGATGTAAAATTACTATATTTAAAAAACGGGACTGATGTCGAATAATCCTCTTGAAAAAAAAAACAAAACATAAAAAGCTGTTATGCATAATAAAATTTAAAATTAATTTTAGTACAATAACAAAGTATTTTGCGTACTGTCACTCAGAACCGAAGGTCCAAGAGTCGTTGAACGTCTGGTAAGATTTATGCATGACAAATTTAATAATGGACTTGGTTCTGGAATTGTCTGCTTCTGAGGCACCTCGTCTTTAAACAGGGGATCATCTTCTGACACTCCTAAAAGCGGCCGTTGTTTAGAGTTCAGCGTAATCGGTTTCAAATTTAGGATTGCCCAGGTATATTGTATAATATGATACACAACATTCAAAGCAAATAATGATGCTAAGCACCACTCAATCCAATAAATCGGTTTGTATGCGAATCCACCATAGAATCTAGAAAACACAGCCAAGCTAAGAATCATTATCATTTTAAATACAACTTAAGAAAAAAAGTCTTACATATCAAAGACTATGATGCTAAGTAGCACACCGTTGATGAAAAACCACATGATACTATTGCGAGCTTTGCACTGCATTTGCCGTAGATCCAGTAATTGCTGTACTTGCGGCTTGGGCGTTAAAACTCTGCAAGTAATGCATTTATCGTGGATTTAGAAAAGAATATTCTTTATGGAGTATATGTCCTAACCTCATATAATAGTTTAAAGTATATATATATATATATATATATATATGTATATTTACCTCGCATTGGGAGAAATGCATTTCATAGGAGAGTGGAAGTTACTCATATTTAAAATCTATGTCACGCTAAGTTAAACAATTACTATTATTATTATTATTATTCTGAATTCCGAGACACTATTATACTATAATTTCCCACGCAATTCGCAACACCGCTTTGAACGTATTTTAAAGTTGCTGCCAACTTTCAACCTTCTATAATTTTTTCTCTTAGGAAGAAAGAATCCAATCGCCAGGGAATTTTTTTTTTTAAGATTACATACATGTTTGTCCAATCAGTCCCTGTTAAACTAGGAAAACATTTTTATAATGTTAGCTACACTGTCATTCAAAAGGAACAATTCTTCGAAACTTCTATTAATAATTTCAACTTTCCAGATTTTTTAAGTTTTGTTACATTTATAAATAGATATACAAAATAGATTTCAATTTTATTGCAGAATTCATTTTATTAAAAAATATATAACAATATTCATTTACATAAGATTCTTTCAAAGTTGAGTAAGTTAACTTCTTTTTTTAATTAAATTAAGTTAAAAATTAATTAAGCCTTGAAAATTTAACTTAGTTAAGATATTGGGTCATCTAAAAAGTATCCGCGGTACTTTGTCACTAGATATATGACCATCAACACACATCTAGTGACAAAAATTGCGGATACTTTTTAGATGACCCAATAAAAGTTAATTCGTGACATTAATTGAATTAAAAGTTAAATTAATGAAAAAAAAAGGAATTAAAAGTTAAATTTGTTTTATTTCATGATTTTAAGTTAACTTTTTTTTAACTAAATTAAAGTTAAAAAGTTTTTTAACTAACAAGGAGAGACTCACATATATATTTCACGAATTTTGATCACCTTTTCCGCGATTATTCTGGAGCAAAAAATAATCCCTGTAAAGTAGTAAATTGCATTTCTGCGTATTTTTCGAGAAAATCATAATTTTGAGTCATGACGACGAATCGCTTTTAAACCTCTTTATTTTTTGCTTAAACGTAAATGAAATATTTGAAATTATTTAAAATTAAAAATATACATCTCCGATAGACACGAAAGTATATCTAAGCATATAATTCGAGTTTAGGATTTGTATAACGCCAAGTTATCCTGTATACCCAACCCTAATGTTAATCTTTAAAAAATCAAATTAAAAGTTAATAGTTACCGATAAAATATAACTATATAAAGTTAAAAGTCTAAAATGTAACCAAATGAAATTAAAATTAATTAACTTTTTAATTTAAAAATTTAACCTTTATTTATAGGTTTATTTAAAATAAACCTATGTTTATTATATTTATTTATATTATATTTATTTTATATTTAGATTAAATTTAGATTATTTTTTAATCAGTAGCTCTTATTAGTACTTTTAATCAGTGCTTCCTTTTATGTATATCACATTACATTTAGCATTTGGTCAATTTTACAAGAAGCTTATTTTTAGAAATATTATCACCTACAGAACACAGCACATCCTCAATTATTCCATCGATGGACGCCTTAATAATATGCTGTAAACAAAAAGATATTAACAAAATCACGTTACACATATCGCGTTAACATTAATAATGTAGATCCAATAAATTTACCTCCATTTTCATAGCGACAATAACAAGCAATGAATCGCCCTTCTTTACTACATCTCCTTTATTAATGAAGATCTTGTCAACTAATCCAGGCATTGGGCTTAGAGCCGTGTATGGATTTTGTTCCGCCTGGCTCGTAATCGCAGTCACGAATTTGGGAGTGGGAATAATTAATTGCCATTCACGATCCTATGAATAAAATCGTCTCAGAGAACCATATATAGCATATTATAGATATCATTAAACACTATGCAATTAATTAACTACCTTGGTGAATATGTATAATTTATTATTAAGTTTCACCGTTCGTGCTTTAATAATAATCCCGTCAATTTCCGTAAACAATTCTAAAGCACCATCAGTCTTCTTTAAAGTACCAGTTACTTTCCTCCAGGGTCCTAATCTGTTGACTCTCATTAGATATATATCCGGTTCGATATATTTCACTTCCACTATGTTATTCTCTTTTTCAACATAAAAAAAAAACGTACGGTTCAACACATGATTTAATCTCAGTCCAGTTTCCACAGCAAACGGAGTAAAAGGATCCTTTGTTTCTAAAGATGTGCTTAATGATTCTATATCTTCATATAGAATTGAGGCGAGAGTTCCTTGTATCAATATTTTGTTAGAGATATGTAACTTAGGGAATAGTTGTTCAAAGTTCTCCTCAATAAATCCCGTATGCACTTCGCCACTTTGAAATTTCGAATGCTTACATAGATCTTTAATAAATTGTATGTTGGTATCCAAGCCAGCGATCTGCAAATATAATTTCCCAAAAATAAATATCTAAATAAAGCTTATTGAATTAAAATTTAAAGAATATTAACAGTGAAACTATATATTTTTATCTGCAAGCGACAATCACTGGCACTTTAACAAATTATTACGTGTAATATGATTATGCTGTAAATTTCATTTCTAAATCCATTAAGGATGATCTAATGTAAGGCCAAATGTTTAGATATAGAATTAGTATAATTCTTTTTCGTAATATATTATAATTTATTAAATATTAACTTCGTGCCTGGCTCATTGATCTTCTTGTGACAAAAGTTTAAATAATTATTTCAATTAAATGTAATTATTTTATCTGACACTGTACAATCTACAACGTAATCAGCCTTTATGAATTTTCAATTTTTTAATTGCACTACTTACATTGTACTCACTGAGTTTTGATATAAGTACATTGAGAGCTTCGCTTCTGTCTTTTCCCCAGACCACTAATTTCGCTATCATCGGGTCGTAATGTACGGATACTTCGTCGTTCTGTCGGACTCCAGTTTCGACTCTGACATTATCCGTTGCTTCAGGAGGTTTTAAGTACAAAAGATGACCTGCTCCTGGTAAAAAACCATTCCTTGGATTCTGTGATATCATAACAACGATAAATGCATTCAATAATAAATTAAATTGAGCTTATATTACACTTATTTTGTCATGTGAGACATAATATGATAGCAATTACCTCAGCATAAATTCTTGCTTCGAATGCATGACCGTTAAGTGTAATCTGTTCTTGTTTGAGCGGCAGTTTTTCACCACTAGCAACTCTCAATTGCCATTCAACCAGATCCAAACCGGTAATTGCTTCGGTAATCGGATGTTCTACCTGGAGGCGTGTATTCATTTCCATAAAATGGAAACTGTGATTGTTCCGATCCATTATGAATTCTACCGTTCCAGCACCCACATACCCTACAGCTTTAGCTGCACGAACAGCCGCTTCGCCCAGTTCTTGCCTGAGCTGCTGGGAAATGCCAGGCTGTAAAATAGAGTCATATATAATCGTTTTAGTCTCTTCTATTATTTCATAAATCTCAATAATAAAAATACATACAGCAGGCGCTTCTTCAATCACTTTCTGATGTCTCCTTTGTACAGAACAATCTCTTTCAAACAGAAAAACGGCATTCCCATGTTTGTCAGCAAAAATCTGTACTTCTACATGCCTAGGTTCGGTGACATATTTTTCCAGAAGCACTGCTGAATCACCGAACGCTTTCTCAGATTCAGTTCTTGCCGATTCCAATGCTTCAACGAAATCGGATTCTTTCTGAGCGATTCTCATACCTTTTCCGCCACCACCGCGCACGGCCTTGATCATCAACGGAAAGCCAATCTTCCTAGCTTCTACCAATAGAGTTTCATTCGTCTGATCATCACCATGATATCCTACAACATGCAGAATATTAGAAAGATAATTCAATAAAAATGACATATGGTTTTAGTTATTTGACATATATTCTTTTATTGTGTTAGGTGTATTATCAACGTTTTTTATTGTTATATTAATTTAAGTTGATTGAGATATTGAGAAGGATCCACATTATGATCGAAACATCTGTACATTTTGTATTAAATAATAAATAATTTGCACGCGTACATCCAGTGCTTGGCTCGCATAGGTATCAATTTTTTTTGAAAAAGATAATTGTTTTAATATATATAGTACTAGGAAAAAAACATCAACCTTCTATGATAGGAACTCCAGCTTTAGTCATGATAGCCTTCGAGGTATTCTTTATACCCATATCTCGTATGGCAGTGGCTGGAGGACCAATAAAAATAATATTCTCCTTCTGACATAATTGTGCAAATTCTGTATTCTCCGAAAGGAATCCATATCCAGGATGCACGGCTTGACATTTTGCCTGCTTGACCACTGATATAATCTTGTCTTTTCGCAAGTAACTCTGGCTAGATTGAGCTGGACCGATACAATAAGCTTCATCAGCTTGTTCCACATGCATAGAATTTCTGTCTGCTTCGCTGTAGACAGCCACAGTCTTTATACCAAGTTTCTTGGCAGTTTTTGTTATACGACATGCTATCTCTCCACGGTTTGCTATCAGAATCTGTTAAAATATTCATCTTATGATAAGCTCTTACGTGATAGTCATTCTAAAAACTGACCTTGTTGATTTTGTTAATCTGTGAAACTGATTGATGTGAATTTTGGGCGTACGAGGTTAGCTGACTCCTACGATTACGTTAGTGTATAATTAATACGTGATTTATGAGTAATGAGCAACAAAAGAACTGAAAAGATGCTATATGCTACTTGCCTGTGAAATACTGTCTTTAATTTTTTAAAATGATACATAATTTGTATGTTCCAATTCGATGAATACATAATATGTAGCTAATCTAACAGTAACGTACTTTCCTAAGTTTATTTATCTGTCTTTTTTGTCCTAGTCATTGTCAGTGTTGTCAGCTGTGATAAACACAAACACATGTGTTTGAATATCATGTGATTATTCTTATCAGTCACCTATGACTTGATGTTCATTTATGAATTATGACTTGATCCTTTGAAGAATATATTTAACGAAAATTCTTGTAAAAATTACAGCAATAAAATTGTAACGTTAAAAAGAGGTCCAGTATCTTAAAAAGTATTATATACAAAATTTTTTAAATTATCTATCTAATAACAGTTTATATTATCATTCAAAGATATGATCTTTTCGAATTTATTCAATTTATTTTTTTCGGTTGCTAAAAATTTTAAATTAAGGAAATTTAAAAAAAAAAGACGAAATGCTCCGATGAAATCGTATTCTCTCACCTCTATGTTTTATTAAGAAAATAAAAATTTTGGATATATATTAGGTGTTGGAATTAATTCGTAGCGTTTTACAAGTGATGGGAAGTACTTTCATTAATGTATTTTTTAATGCTCATGTGAAATAAATAACATTCTTTCATTAAAAACGCTACGAATTAATTCCAACACCTAATAGATACAGAGGAAAGATAAAGAGGATGATAAAGCAGAAACCTGCTTAAATAGGAAGCATAATGGTGAAACATGATAGCCCGATAAAATTTGAAAAAAAAATAGAAAAAATTATATAAAATATTATTATATAAAATATTAGTTAATATTATGATTACAGTTACTGCTACTGTAGTTCAGCAAATCATTTAAATTAAATCCTTTAATATAAAAATAAAAAAATATGAGATTAACAATTTCAAATTAATTTTAATCTCGATTAAATATATTTTTTATCTTTTTCTAATTTTTAGAATTAGAAAAAAATAAAAAATAAATTGCACAGAGATAAAGTTAATTTTAAATTTGTGGAATTCAGCTTAGTAAAGAAAAAAGTTACAATATCAACAGATCTCAATTTATACAAAATTAGAATATAAAAACAAAGTAATTAGAAACTTATTTCCATAACAATATGTATATCTGGAGACACCATAGTATTTCGGCGCTACGACAAGCGAAGCGTAAGACACTGCTATATAATATATCTACAATAATACAATAATACATATAAAAAGATATCTTCCCTAATTTTTATAATTTGCTGGTATACAACTGCAATTCCTTCTCTGTAGGAAATGCTGCGAATCGTTTATTTACATATTCATCCGTTACATTGGCCAAAGATGATGGCTTCCATATTGGTTTCTGATCTTTGTCGACTAGAAGAGCTCTGACACCTACAAATAAAATAGTGATCCAAAAATATCATCTGCAAAATATACCTAAAATTTCATCTTATTACCTTCATAAAAATCACCATCTCTGGTTAAAGCGGTACAGGCCAATCTATATTCGATCTTTAAACAATCTGCTAAAGATTTTTCTTTTTCTTCATCAATCGCTTTTTTGGTGATTTTGAGAGAAGATGGAGACATTTTAAGCAATATATCTATATTCTTTTGTGCCCAGTCCGAATTATCTTTCTTTAGTCTTAATATAAAAAACAAATTGTCCTTTACTGTATTACAAGTGAAAAAAATATTAATTTGATATCTTTTTAATATCTTTAGCTTACCTTTCAATTATCTCTTCAATGGTTGGAGCAGAAAAACAATTTTCTATCTGTGACATATAAGGTGCCAAGCTGAATTCATGATTTAATTTTTGTTGATATTTATTCAAAATAGGCTCAATGTTGACTTCACGCAACGCAAATAAATCGCGTTTTAAATCTGCGAGTTTCTCCGATGGTATAAAATGCGTCGCAATGCCAGCAAGAAAAACATCGAAACCTTCATAAAACATATATTTATAAATGTCTGTTTATGTATATAGAATTCTCAATAGAATTGAAGTTATACCTTTCAATCTTTGCCCTGTTAGACCTAAATATAAACCTAGTCTGCCTTTCAATCTGGATAAAAAGTAAGTCGCACCAACATCAGGAAACAATCCTATTGCCGTTTCTGGCATAGCAAAAAGAGTTTTTTCCGTAGCAATTCTATATTTGCCATGTATAGATAATCCAACACCACCTCCCATTGTTATCCCATTGATAATAGCAATATAAGGCTTCTTATATGTGCCGATCAAATGATTTAAACTAGAAACAGAAGAAAAAATCATTTTGCTCACATAAATAGATAAAAGAAATGCATTTACTCTTGAACAGACACTTACGTATATTCTGTCCTGAAAAATTCTTCACCCTGTAGATTTCCTGCCGATTCATTCAATGACAAGACAAGTGCTTTGACGTCACCACCCGCACAAAATGCTTTCTCACCTATACCTTCTATTATTATCAGCTTCTTTAAAGATTCCCATTGTTTGAGGACAGAATATATTTTTTGAACCATGGACAAATTTATAGAATTCAATGCTTTAGGTCGGTTTAAAACTATTATGCCATTATCTCCAACCTTTTATATACAAAATAAATATAATCTTAAATAATTCTGATAAATTAATAGTATTTGATAAATATAAAACATCTTAATCATAATAATATGCTAACATACTTCTTTTGTAATGACCTCATCCATATTTATTTGAGCACTGGATGTTTCTTTAATGTCTTTAGATACTGAAATTGCAGGATTAAAGATTTATTTACAATTTAGAAAGAGAATGATAAACATTAAAATATATCTTAATAATAATATAAATATCTAAAATCTAAAAGGATTCTTTTATGATACAAATTGATATGCTAAGAAGAAAAATATCACTGTGTACTATAGATAGAAAATATTTAATATTTTACAGCAATATTTATGTGTGAAAAAAGAATAAAGTCATCAATAACTCAAAGCATAAAAAATGTATAGTCACCTGTAACAGATCCTGACGTCATCAACCATCTAACAGTAGCACGTGAAACTGTAGCATTAACGCTCGAATATAATTTTTCTACAAAGCACCGTATCTAAATAAAATAATGATATATTATATTATAATTACCAAACACGCAAAATTCTAATTTATACGTTAAATCAAAATTACCATATTTGTAATCTAAATGCTAAGTGTTAAAATAATATAAAATATGTAATTGTTGGCTATCGCTATTGATATTGCAAAAATACTCTCCGCATTCAACTCAGAGTCGACCGTAAAAAAAATTGTATATATTCTGATGTACTCATTTATTGTGACTGATTGGCACAACAATAAATCAGTATGCCATGTGTATACACATGTAATTGGTTCAATTCACTGCCAACGCTGAAATCTACAGTTTACGTAACGTATACTATATTGCCCGTATTCAGTACGCACTTACACGAATTAGTGCATTAACATGCTATAATTTACGTCACGCATACTATAGAATTTTAGCGGGAAGCACAGTCTCTTGCATAACGAATAACACATAATACATAAGAAAATGTATCAATCAAAATCCTTCATTTCCTTCCTATCCATGAGATAAAGAACTCTGCTTGGTTAAATTTCTTATGCATGTCATATGATATGCAAGAGTCTGTGCTCTCTGCTTTATAAATCTTCAACTGATTGTGAATTTTAGAACACAGCTTATATCGCGCAATAGCGCCTCGGAACGATGTCAATCTATGAATTGATAAGTATTGGGTCATCTAAAAAGTATCCGCGGTTTTTTGTCACTAGATGTGTTGACCATCAACACCATCTGGATGGTGTTGATGGTCAACACATCTAGTGACAAAAAACCGCGGATACTTTTTAGATGACCCAATATAATCACCGACGAGATACTATTAAAGACCGACATCCTTACGGGTTGCGTTCCAAAATTCAACTCTGCTATTCGAATATTATTTTATCCTTGTCAATGTTGAGTAAAGATAAAGGATATTCGGAGTTGACAGAGTCAAGTTTTGGAACGCACCCAGGGGAGTTCGTGTCCTTGTGAATATTAAAATGATTAAAAGTTAAAAATTGATAATATTATACTAACTTTGTGATTTTATTAATTTGGTAGACGTAATTATGCATTTATAACTCAATAATACCCGATTTTTCTTTAAAATTGTGATTTCAGTATTATCGTGAAAGTTTGATTATCAACAGAGATGATAATTGTAGAGAAAAAAATTGTAATTTTCTGCAATACATAGAATATTATAGCTTTACAAATATGCATATTTATTTATAGAACATTTATATAATAAAAAAATCATGAATTTAATAATGTATAAGCCAAATATTTATGTTAATAATAATAAATTTGTATTAATTGTCGATAATGTCAGCGTTCTTCAATTATCTCCGGACCTCTTGGGGCCCTTTTTATACCGCCAAAAATTTGCCCAGAGTTGATAGTCTTTAATAATATCTCGTCGGTGGTATAATCTAGTATAATTTATCAACTTTCTAAAGAGTAGATTCCTGCATTATCATTTGTCAAAATCAAAACCATTGGAGGTTATACTTTTTATTTAAAAATGAATGTTAATGTAATGTTTTGCAATTAATGCAAAAATAAAAATAAGAGGAATAATCTCCAGTGGCTTAGTCATAACAAATGTGTGTGATATGTATGTGTGTGGTGCGTGCGTGTGGTGCGTGTGTTAGCAAAGTAAGGACCTCACGATTTGTTGCTCCCGTAGTATTTAATGATTCCAAATCTTCTCTGCTATGCGTGCATGGTGCGAACTTCGACCGAGAGGAACTTCTTCGTGATGCATATCGGATAACGCAAATGCCAGCGGAACTTAACCAAAATCTTAGAAAATATAGGATCTACTTTGGAACCTATATATAACTCGATCAGCTCCTATAGAAAAGCTAGAATAATTTTCTTTTTTTTATTTTAAAAAGAAAATTCTCAGCTTCAAAACTGATTTGGTGACCTTGTTGATTTGCTCGTGGAAGGCTGCAATGTCATTTTCAAAACTCTAATTTTACGAAAAAAAAAAACAGTTTAATGGGACGAAAAATTTTACTTAAGCTATTTCAAAGTAGAGGCTTTATTCTAAAATGCGTCAAGAAAAAAATATCTTGCGATTCCTGCAAGCCGAGATATTAGTTTCTTAAAATCGACAAAATTCGTCAGTTTTAAAGTGCTCCTCTAATTTTTTTGTGTAGAGTGATTGGTATTTACAGTAAGTTTTTAAATTAAATCCTTTAATACAAAAATAAAAAGAAATATATGAGATTAACCAATTTAAGATTAATTTTAATCTCAATTCAATTTACTTTTTATCTTTTTCTAATTCTTAAATTAGAAAAAATACAAAATAAATTGAACAGATAAAGTTAATTTTATATTTATAGAATCCAGCTTAAAAAAAAAAAATTAACAATGTCAATGATTTTAATATATTATAGATTTCAATTTGTACAAAATCAAGATTAAAAATAAAGTAGTAAAAATTTGTTTCTATAACAATATGTATATATATTGTATTTATATATATCCACAGTGCATATAAACAAATATCTCTTAATTTTTATAATTTGTTAGTTCACAACTGCAATTCCTTCTCTGCAGGAAATGCCGCGAATCGTCTATTTACATATTCATCCGTTACGTTGGCCAAGGATGATGGCTTCCATATTGGTTTCTGATCTTTGTCGACTAGAAGAGCTCTGACACCTAGAAATAAAATAGTGATCCAAAAACACAACCTGCAAAATGCACCTAAAATTTCATCTTATTACCTTCATAGAAATCACTATTTCTGCTTAAAGCGGCACAGGCCAATCTATATTCGATCTTTAAACAATCTGCTAAAGATTTTTCTTTTCCTTCATCAATCGCTTTTTTGGTGATTTTGAGAGAAGATGGAGACATTTTAAGCAATATTTCTATATTCTTTTGTGCCCAGTCCGAATTATCTTTCTTCAGTCTTAATATAAAAAACAAATTATATCTTTTTCTGTATTACAAATGAAAAAATATTAATTTTACTTTTTAATATCTTTAGCTTACCTTTCAATTATCTCTTCAATGGTTGGAGCAGAAAAACAATTCTCTATCTGTGACATATGAGGTGCCAAGCTGAATTCATGATTTAAATTTTGTTGATACTTATTCAAAATGGGCTCGATGTCGACTTCACACAACGCAAATAAATCGTGTTTTAAATCTGCGAGTTTCTCCGATGGTACAAAATGCGTCGCAATACCAGCAAGAAAAACATCGAAACCTTCATAAAACATATGCTCATAAATGTCTGTTTATATATATATAGAATTCTCAATAGAATTGAAGTAGATTGAATACCTTTCAATCTTTGCCCTGTTAGACCTAAATATAAACCCAATCTACCTTCCAACCTGGATAAAAAGTAAGTCGTACCAACATCAGGAAACAATCCTATTGCCGTTTCCGGCATAGCAAACAGAGTTTTTTCCGTGGCAATTCTGTATTTACCGTGTACAGATAATCCAACACCACCTCCCATTGTTATCCCATCGATAATAGCAATATAAGGCTTCTTATATGTGCCGATCAAATGATTTAAACTAGAAACAGAAGGCAAAATCATTTTGCTTACATAAGTAGATAAAAGATGCATTTACTCTTAAACAGACACTTACGTATACACTGTCTTGCAAAATTTTTGGCTTTGTACATATCCTGTTGGTTCATTCAATAACAAGGTAAGTGCTTTGACATCACCACCCGCACAAAATGCTTTCTCACCTATACCTTCTATTATTACCAGTTTTTTTGAAGACTCCCATTGTTTAAGGATGGAATATATTTTTTGAACCATGGACATATTTATAGAATTCAACATCTTAGGTCGGTTTAAAACTATTATGCCATTATCCCCAATCTTTTATATACATAATAAATATAATCTTAAATAATTCTAATAAATTAATAGTATTTGATAAAGATAAAACATTTTAATCATAATAATATGCAAACATACTTCTTTTGTAATGATCTCATCCATGTTTGTTCGAGTATTGAGTGTTTCTTTAGTGTGTTTAGATACTGAAATTGCAAGATTAAAGATCTATTTACGATTTAGAAAGAGACTAATGATATAAACATTAAAACACTTATAATAAATATCTTAATAATGATATAAATATCTAAAATCTAAAAGGATTTTTTTCAAATTGATATGCTACGAAGAAAAATATTACTGTGCATTATAGATAGAAAATATTTATAATAATATTTTACAAAAATATTTGTGTGGAAAAATAATAAAATGATCGAATCAGTAATTGCATCGAAGACGTAAAAAATGTATCATCACCTGTATCCGATCCTAATGTCATCAGCCATCTAACACGTGAGACTGTAGCACTGACACTCGAACAATATGGTTTTTCTGCAAGGCATCGTATCTAAAAAAAATAATGACATATTATAATATCAGTTACCTGATATGCAAAATTCTAATTTATACATCGAATTAAAATTACCATTTGTAATGATATGTAAATTACCATCTAAATGCTAAGTATTAAAATAACATAAAATATATAACTGCTGGCTATCGCTATTGATATTGGAAAAATACTCTCCGCATTCAGGGTTCACCGTAACAAAAATATATATATTCTGATATATTTATTTATTTCATCGGCTGATTAGCACTGCAGAATGCACTGCAATAAGAGTGCATTCTGAGTACGCATGAAACGCATGTGATGCATCATTTATTCTTGTTGTTCATCAAATAATAAGGATAAAACAATACATCATGCGCTTCACGCGTAACTCGGAACCCTAAATCAGTATGTTACGGATACACATATGTATGGTTGTGTTCCAAACTTCACTGCGCTGAAAAAATTTAGTTTATGTTATATATACTATAAAGCTCGGCATGATTGACACTTCATGGCTGAATTTTTGATTTGACTTCTCCTTGTACCCTATTCTGTAACTCGTTAAAACAGTAAACATCGTTGCGCAACTTTTTATACTATAAAATATCTTCGTAATGATGTTATTACTGTTTTAACGTTACAGAATATGGGCTTTGGTGCCTTACTTCCGCCATCTTTCTAATCTATCACCTTGTGCACAATCTAAATGCCGCTCGACGTTTAGAAGCGTTATGACGCTCGTAGACATGAAATTCATCCACTTTGGATGCTCATACTATAAACTTTATTCTATATCTTTTTTTCGTTCATTATAATATTAATATTCATTATAATTATAACTACGACAGAATGAAGCAACGCGCTTAAGATTAAAGCCCTAAACACAATGCGATCGAGGCAACAGCGATAGTGATAGAAATAGCGACAACAATAGTCGAATAGGAACAGAGGAATCTAACATACAGGAATGCATTGATATATGCGTTCTCATATGTTGGATTCCTTTGTTCCTATTATATAGTATATCGTTATTGCTATTTCTATTGCTATTTCTATCGCTATCGTTGCCTCGCATTATATTATGGCTTAATGCGACTCAAAATAGATTTAGGCATCATCCATTTTCATAAGCAACCTGAATTATTGGTTTCAGTGCTATCTACGTTACACTAGCCTTTTTTTAAGTCGCACATTTGAAATTGATGATTAACAAGTGTATTGTGTAGTATGTATAAGTTTATTAATTTTATAATAGTATTTGAGGCATACTCAACAAAATTATCTTTTTAAAAAAAGATTTAAAAAAGGCGCCAAGTGTGCGTGTATCTCCCATAAACCCATAAAAAACTAACTACATAAACTAAAAAAAAAATCGTTACATAAATAATATAATTCAAGTGGTAATATTGTTAATTTTTTATTATAAATTGCCCTTCGGTACGTATGCATGTATTAAAAAGCAAAATGAAATAAAATCTTTAAATTACACTAATGTATGTGAAGAAGTTCTATCGCATCGTAATATGGAAATCTTGTTTGTTCGGCATCGCTAATGCTGTTGTTGTGTTTACATTTGAAGTACATCTCTTTCAAATGTTTTAATTTGGTTATCATTTGTGCGCCTAAAAAATAAAAGAAATGAGTTTTAATCAAACTCATTTCTTTTATTTTAGATTCTAATGATTTATATATATATCTATATGTTTATGATGCTTTTCGTCCATTAATTGGATTATTTGTTTTTCAATATATAATTCAATAAAAATCGTCATTTCCATAATGTCCATCCAATTCTTTTCATTTTTCTCAAATTTGCACTACTAAAGATTTATACGAGCACTCTTTTTTTTCTCATGTAGTGAAAAAATTCTTATAATATAGTATAACAAATACAAGGTCAATAGATTAAAAAAATATGCGAGCACACAAGGTGACTGTTTAACTTAGTCTATATTCTTCCACTTATATGACGCATGTACATTTCGGCCTTGACTTAGCCCTCCTCAGCACATACAAAAATTTTTTTCTTAATATTAATTTAATACGAAGGATCTTATTTCATGTACAATAAATAAAATGTCATATGGCGTTGGTGTTCCTTTGCGGTGTCAGTAAGTATTTGATGTACTTGAATTCCATAATGTAAAATTCTATTGTAAACCCATTCTTCGGTTCGTGACGAGAAAAGGTAGCGTAATAAAACATTTACGCATAAAAACATTTACTTGATGATACATACAATGTTTTATTTTTTTTACCTTTTCTCGCCACAAACTGAAGAATTAGTTTACAATAGAATTCAAAGAATACCATATGACGTCTGCGTTTTGTTTGTACGTGACATGAGATTCTTCATGTTAATGTTAAGGAAAAAATTTACGTATGCTGAGGAAAGCTAAGTCAAGACTGAAATGTACGTGTGTTATATAAGTGGAATAGTAGAATATAGACTAAATTAATCAGTCGTCACCTTGTATGCTCATTTTTTTTCAAAATCTATTGATTTTGTATTTGTCGTGCTATTGTACAATCTTACGAGTGTGAGAATTTAACAGTTTATATTTCTTATAATCTCAAAATATATTTAGAAAAAGTATCATTTTAAATGTATGAAGATTTCAAAAAAAAATATCTTAAATTTTTTTTCTGAAATTTTTATACATTTAAAATATGATACTTTTTCTAAATATATTTTGAGATATTATAAGAAATATAAACTGTTAAATTCTTATACGCTCGTAAGATTGTACATCAATAGCATAACAAATACAAAATCAATAGATTTTGAAAAAAATGAGCA